CTCCTGATCAGTAAGGCACAGTGAGGTTCAGTGACTTCTATCAGGAAGTTTATGATTTATTCTTCAGTGCATAACCCGCTGGCGAACCTGTACCCGTTATTCAAGCAGCCCCTCATTTTGCTTTATACAGCTAAATCCCACAGCTGTTCAGGCGCAGGCCCATTCTTTGCAAGGCACTTCAGTCTCCCTGGTCATCAGGATAATTCGCATGAAATCAAAAGGAACTGAATTCAAAACTCTGCATTGCAAGAACTGTCATGGAGCCCGGCTGCTCTGCTCCAGTTCGAACACACAGACTTTCCAGTGCCGTAGCCCGTGCCAGACTTCTGAAGGGGGTCATCTCATAGTTTTTCTGCTGTATCAATAACCAGCTCTTATAATCTGTACAGTGCTTCCCAGACATTAAATAATCCCAGATTGCACTCTGTTCTTTGCATTTATCTTGACCAGCTGTCAGAGAAGGCAGTTTATTTCCCTCAGTTTTTTTTACTTGGCTCCATGTGGCTTCTGCCGGGGTTTTGAACAGAAAATGGAAGACACAGTGTGTTCACAACAGACACAAGCACGATTTTGTTTAAGCAAAATAACATTCGGATAATTTTCAAAGTGTTTATTGCTTTGCTGTTGGATATTCAGAATTTCATTCTTTTGGGATTTCACTGCTTTTGAGTCTTGGTTAATTTTAAGTGGGAATTTTGAGAAGGAGAATACAAAAGAAGACAATGAAAAAGATTTAGAATTAAGTTTGTCATTTTCTTCTTAAAACCTGTACCATGACTGTCTTGGCAGAATCACAAAGTGAATGAAATTCAGAATTCATATGAGATCAGTTTTGCAAAAGTCATCAAAGTCCTATTTAACTCTGCGTTTGTATTACTTATTGAAGTTATACTTTCCTATTTTTCTGTCAAAAGACAAAAAAATGCAAAAATTCATGTTTCTTTTAAAACTCTGTGCATATTTTAAAAATCTGACCAGGATTCAAATAATTTTTGTTAAATCCTCTAAACTTGTGCCTTCAGTTTCAAGATACCAAACAGATGCACATGACGTTATTCGGTTCCTTGTACACAACACACTGAAATGAGTCGAAAGTGCAGAAATAACCCCTCTGCAGTTCTTCTCTTGGTGCTAGTAGAAGGCCTTCCAGAAGCCAAAAGGCTGGAGGAGATTAGCAGCAGATCGGCTCTCAGGTAGGCCACTCCTAAGCTCTCAGAGCTCATTTCCTCTCCTGCAAATCATTATTCTGGGCCTTCAATTCACTTGTAGGTCCACTTGGGTCTTAAATCTCATTTCGAGGCCCTCCTATCACTCATCTATTTTCAGAACTACCATTAGGAGTGATGGGAATCTGGCATGAAAAATCAATGGGAGGATATGATATAAGTTCTTTCTAATTTTCCCCTGTGTGAACAACACCTCAAGTACGGTTTATGAAATTTATCTTAAAAGTGTCTTTCCATTTTGCTATAATTTCTACTAAATCGATTTCATGAGCTTGGAATAGTTATTCCCATAGTTGTTTCAAAAGAAAAAGGTGATTTGTTGTCAGAATTATTAATTTCTACCAAAAGTCATTTAAAAACCTTAATTAAATCTTTTCCAGTGCTGTGCCCCCCTAACATTAATCTTTTAAAAATATGGATCTAGATTCAAAACTGTTACCTAAGAAATAGTTGTATTAGTTGTTTTTGGTTGCTATTACCTACTAATATGTACTCTTGAATGTCTTAAGTCTTTCTTTTGGGGGCTACTCATGAAATTTTACATCATTTGTCTTATTCCTCTGAAGAGAAGGACAGTAAAAAAATGAAATTTTTGGCAAAAGAAATGAGTAGAATAAGAATGTGCTAACTAAAATACTCAATTTTGCATGCTGTGATTTCATATTTTCCTTTAGGGTATAGAAATTGTCTTATGAGCTGGATTTGTACTTAAGCATCCTGTGTACATGTCTGCTGGAAAGGCCCAAACGCTCTTTTTCTAGTTTAAAGAATTCACTTGCACTGATCACATGTGTGCTATAATAACTTTATGTGCCATAGATCATTTCATTCATTTTGCTTGTGGGGCCAAACATCCTGTAATTCTATGAATCGATTACAATATCCGGTGCCTCATCCCTTATACTACAAGGGATTAATTAAGTGATTGAAGGAACGCGGGTGGGGCCTTACAATCTTTTTGTTTCTCTGAAGACGTCTTAGCCCGATGTACACATTTAGTAAGTGGGGAGAGATGCCCAAGTGGCGTAGTCAGGCCTTCAGCCTTGGTTTCTGAGGGTAACTGCACACTTCAAGGCTCTCCTTGTGGAGATGCTAATAGTCCCAGCAGCGTCATAACTGTAGAAGCGTTGGAGGTGGTGGCAGCAATGATGATGACGATGATGATGATGATGTTATTAGTTCTTGTGTTGCCATTTATTAAATAATTACCATGTACTAGGAAATATGCAAATGGCTTACATGAGTTTTTTTTCCGCAACGCAAACCAGTACATGGAGTCTTAAGGCAATTTCCTCCCTCACACACAGCTGCATGTTGTTCTTGGGAATAGTGTGGCAGTGACCTTCCAGACATTCACGTATCACAGGGAGGAGCCAGAACTTAGTCCCTGTCTCTTCCCCTCAAAGAGATTTAGCCTTGCACAGTGGTGCATGTGTGAAATCCCAGCACTCTAGAAGGCCAAATAGGGAAAATCACCAGTTCGAGTCCACCCTGGCCAACTTAGCTATGTAGCAAGATCCACTCTGAAAATTTTAAAAATACAAATAAATAAAAGGCCTGGGGATGTACTTCATTGCAAAGGTCCTGGGTTCAATCCCTAGTTACCCCAGCACCAGACAAAGTTCTTGCAGCTTCTTTGCTTTACTATTTCCACAGGAAAGCTACACGTCATTGAAAGCTAGAAGCGTAGAGCTGGAGCCAGAGGCTGACAGCTGGAAAGGACAAGGAGCACTTTGATGCCAGGTGGAGACCTTAGAGGCTTCCAGAGACCCAATCTGCCCATTACTATTCTACTATGTAGAATATGCTAAGAGGGACCACAGCTAGGCTTTCCGTTAGGTGCAGATTGCTTTGCAAAAGTGTTAAAGAATCTTGAAAATTTAGATTTGCTCTTGTGTTCAGCAGATAGAAACATCGTAAGTTAGAGAAAATAGTAAAATTGAAAAAAATGTAATCATATTTAATAAAATATAATTCAATTTTTTGAATAGCAATTATTAAGTCATTTTGGGCACCATAGTCTGTATTTAATATATAAAAATACATTAAAATCTTGTGCTTCTTGCTCCAAAGGTTTGGACTGGTTGTTTTTTCTCTTCAGTATTTAGTTATTTGCTTTGCACGTGTAATTTGGGATTGAGAAGGCTATGCAAGTCTGCTTGGTCTTCAACTGTTCCTAAAAAACATGAAATATTTGTTTCTGATGATCTCAAAATTATCTCTAGGTGCAACTTGCTATGAATATAATCAGACTATCTGTAATGTCATTGAAGGGGTTTCCCAACATACAGTGGCAGCAAACTTATCAGAGAAAAATGAGTTATAGAATCCTTTAATGTCATGTTGTAGACAAAGATACTATAAAAGGGAAAGGTAACCAATGATAGAAAAACACAGCATGAAGATTGAAGTGCTGCCTTTCGTGTTTCTGTGTAGAAAAGATGCTTATAGGAAAGTGATGGAAAATTCCACAAGAATAGAAGTGTGAAGAAAGGAAAAAGTAAGCATATTAACAACTCATCTCAAGGAATACATGAATTCTGAGTGACGCTCCATTTTTATCCTGTGTGACTGCAAATATTTTAGATACTATAAACACTCAGTATTGACGAGGATAAAAAGCAGACCACTGCCATGTGGGGTAAAAGCATATCAATTTTCAAATGCGTATGTATATTCTATATTTCTGGATATAGCAGTTCTGGAGTTAAGAATGACTCCTAAAGGAACAGTTATTAATGTGTGCTCAGAAAAGTTCTACCATGTCTCAATGGGATAAGTGACTAAATTATGTTCAACCTTGAAATGCCAAGCCATACAGGTGCATAAGTGGGACTTTTAAAGGGGGTTACTGGCAGAAGAGCACATTGGTGGTATATTGCCTAGGAAAATATACAAAGGACAGTGAGATTGTGACTTGTCAAGGGCAAATAAAAATGTAGTTATATATTTGTGCATATGTACAGAAAACAACATGTTAACAGAAATTGTTGCAGGATTGTTGGATTAAAAATTATACTAATCTATTTGTTTATGTATTTATTATTCTTTCTGTACTTTGCTATTTCCTCAAGAGTTTTGCAGAAACTGAAATAAGGAAGTTACTGGCTATAATGAGATTCTTCTTATTATTATTATTATCATTATTATTGTTTGTTTGTTTTTTTTTGTTTTTTTTTTTTTTGGTTTTCTGAGACAGGGTCTCACTGTGTAATTGAGACTGACCTGGAACTCACTATGCAGCCCAGGCTGGTCTCGAACTCACAGCGATCCTCCTGCCTCAGCCTTCCGAGTGCTGGGATTACAGACGGACGCCACCACAACCAGTGCTATAATGAGATTCCTTTCAATGTTATTTTTATGCACCCCAACACCCCCAAAGCAATATAGTGACATCAATAGAAATTCCAATTTTACAGTTCAACCAGGGTATCGAGAAAGGAATTTCATCCCTTGACCTTTTTTATCACTGACGAGTGTGATGCTGGGGATCAAACCCAGGGTCCTGTGTGTGCCAGGCAGGGGCTCTACCACTGAGCTGTGCTCCCACCCTTGCCACAGACTTTGTCCTCCAGTGGAGACCTTTTTGCTTGCTTTTATAATAGACATGTGCCGGTAGAAGTGGGCCAGGCGTACAGTTCTGCTCTCGAGTAGGCTTGTTCCCTGAAGAAGCTGCTCGAGACAGCTACCCTCCCCAGTAGAGTATGTTTTCTTTATCACAAATATTTGGTGTAGATTTCTCAATTGTATTTTCCTTTCTGAATGTTGGACTAGGAAATGCATCTACAACCACCACTGTGATCGACAGCAAAAATGGCTCTGTGCCCAAGTCCCCTGGCAAAGTGCTGAAGAGGACAGTCACCGAGGACATCGTGACCACCTTCAGCTCCCCTGCCGCCTGGCTGCTGGTCATTGCCTTGATCATCACGTGGTCAGCTGTTGCCATCGTTATGTTTGACTTAGTGGATTACAAGAACTTCTCAGGTAAGAGCTGCGGTATTAAGTTTTTAAATCAGAAGAACCATGTTTTCCCCACCTGCAGCTCTTTTCCCTCTCTTCACTCAAAGCTGGTGTGTGAGCTAAAATACCCAAGAGCAGGCTCCAGGGCACTGACAGCAACTTCGTCCTTTCCCTTTCCTTCCCTTCTCTTTGGCGTATTTGATTTCAAATCCAAGCTTGTGTTTGTAGAGCTGAATACAAGCGGAACGCCGCACCTTCACAAAGACAATGATTAAAAGGCCTGGGTAGAGAATTAGCCTTGGAACTTGTACTTCATCAACCATTGATAAAGAATAATTTGTAGATTTCATGCTTGGCCATATAAAAGCAGAAGACCAAACAACAAGACTTTCAGGCAAATAGAAAGTAATTTCAACTACTTCTAAGCCTCTGTGTCCTCTGGTCCCATCTTCTTTCTAGATAATGCTCGTTACTCCCCGACCCCTGGCCACACAAAACCATCCTCTTTTAAATTTCTGAAAGCAGAAAACCTTAAAAGGATTTGAATGATTTGAAACAGGATACTACATCTTGAGTGTTCATATGCCATTATGGACTTGGGGTAACACAGGAATAATACAAGGAAGAAAGGGTAGTAGTTTTGTTTAAAATCTATTTCGACTTCTATCATTCTCTATTGACTGTGTTTCCTGGATGAAAGGAATCAATTGGGTGCTCTATTAATATTTCATGAGTAGATGAATGAATTTATGCTCCATTTCCTTTTCTCCAATAGGAGAATCAATAGGGCCCAGATGTGATAAGTTGATTCTCTGTGCTCGTGGACCCTCCGTTTCACATTCATTTCTCCCTCCAAGCATCAGCAAGTGGCTGTGTCACAAAGACTGCCACACAAATATCGTAAAGGCACAGAACTGTATTGTTTGCGTCTCTGGACGGGGGATATGGCTGTGACTCTGGGTGCTGGCTGTGCGCCGGGTAGTTAAGCCACAGGAGGCATCAGCACAGGCCCTGTCTCACGATGTCAAGCAGAGGGCAATGTGTGCAGTCGTAAATGTCTGCTCTAAAAAGCCAAGGCTTCTATTTTATTGTAATAAAGTCTTTTAAAAAGAATATACAGTTAAGATAGTTCCAGTCTAAGATTAAGACTTCAAGTTTTAAGTGAAAAATAGTTACATTATTAGAGGAAATTCCATTTTCTTTGAACTTATATGAATTTTAATATTTCACCTAACCTTTCTTTTATTATGAGTTCATTTAATTAAGTTTTAGAACCAAATATGATCATAAAATATAGCACTTTAGCTTTTATAGTAGATAGAATTTACCAAATATACATAAATTTAATATTTGCAGTTACTATTTTTGAAAGCACAATATAGACACCACTATTAAAAATAATTTATTCTTCATTAATAAAAGCATGGGTACCTACAACTATATTTTCATATTTGATTGCTTAAATATAGTACATACCTTCCATTAAATCACCTTGCTCGGTGTTACAGATGACACTGCATCTACATCACTGGCATTTTGATCACTAGGAAACAGCTTCTGTGCTTCTTAGGCTTTGTCAGTGTTTAGTCAGCACATCTTCAGTGTGAGGCCACCTCCTCCTTCTGTCTCCTGTATTTATTAAGACATAACTGTCTATTCGGTCACTACAAGAAAAACCTGGAATCCTCTCCTGAGTCTCCTTGGATCTGTGCACTCAACCAAGTCCATGACTTCTAAGCTCATGCGACTCACAAATGCACCACCTCCGTCTCTACCACGTCCATCAGCAGGCTTCACGTGCTCTTTCTCTCTCGAGGGCACACCCTCAGTTTCCTGTATCACTGCCCCGTGCTTTCTGTCTCTTAACAATGCTAAAGACAGATCTTCATAAAGCACAACTAGATCAAGCAACGCCTTTCCCCTTGCCTAAATACAAAATCTCAGAATGAAGGTGAGTTCCTTGGGTTCACTCTCTGTTTCCACCCTGTTCAGCATATGCACCCCTCTTTATTCAGCCATATTGACTTGTTTTTCTCTGTTGTCCCTAGGAAAATAAAAAATTCTCTCCGCCATTTCCTCACTTCATGGCAGGTAGAAGGAGTGATAGTGAACAGCTAAAAATGCAAACTCAGGCTCATGTGCCTGGTATGAAGTTCATACCTTACGACTCACTAACTCTGTGACAGGGGTAGTAGTACTTATGCTCTCTTCAGCTTCCTCATCTGGAGAGGGGATTTTAATAGTGCTTATGCAATGTGATTGTCAAAAGGAGTGTTGTACAAGGCAGTATTTGAAGGGCTCTGAACAGAACCTGGTTTATCATGCCCCTAGCAGTGGAGACTCACTGATCAATACTCATCTTGAGAATACTTACTCATCCCTCCAGACCTAGTCCCTCTTTTGTGACACATTCTGAGACTGTAGGAAAAATACACTGTGCCTTATTTGCTTACTCTTGGTAACTCGTAGGCACCTATAGTAAGAGCACTTGGCACTGTGTGTTATAAGCATCTCTTGATTTGTCAGACTCTCTCAGAAACCTCTACCTACCCTAGCAAGGACTGTCTTATCAATCACTGTACACTGGGGCTTCTCATATAGGTTTTCTAGTGCACAGCAATTTTTACATTGTGATGAAACATTACATTTTATTTCATTTCAGAGCCAGGGATTTAGCTCATTGACACCATGCCTGACTCTTAAGTGCAAGGTCCTGAGTTCAATCTCTGGTACAAAAAAAAAAAAAAAAAAAAAAAAAAAAAAAAAAAAAAAAAAAAAAAAAAAAAAAAAAAAAAAAGAAAGAAAAGAAAAGAAAATTTTATTTGATCTAAGTTTTTGATATGCTTTAAAATTAATAAGTAACTTCAATGAAACTAAAACATAAAATACAATGCTTCTAAGATAAATTTTACTTGGCATATTTTGTGATATTCATTGTTGCATAATAAGTTACTTCAAAACTAAAGGTCTTAAAACAACAACAAGCTGTTATTATTTTGAGTAGTGTGTAGAGGTCCAGAGTTTGGACATGGGTTAGCTGGTGAGTTTGTCTTAGGATCGATTCTGAGACGGCAGAAAAGACTAGCATGAGTGGTGGAACTGTTTGCAAAAGTCGGCACCTGTTGAGTGCTTGCAACAGGTCAGGTGGTTTCCTCCTGCGAGAGCGATCTAAGACAGCAGAGTCAAAGCCGCAGTCCTTTTGCACCTACGCCTGGAAATCTCCTACTGTCGTTTCTTGGAGGTCGTTTGGTTCACACAGTAACCCTGTTCGGTACTGGAGAGGCTGCATGATAGAAGAGCTCTGTCGGCACGTGGAAATCACCAGGGCCAAGGTGGAAGCCGGCTACTACATAGACCCTGTCACAGATTATGTCACCACACAGTACCTCTGTTGACAGCTGGTCAGACCGAAGAAGGAAGTACACCAATCTAGTTGGCAGACAGATACTCTGACAACAGCACAAAGGAAACTATGCTGCAGTGGGCTGACCAGCTCCACGAGGCCGTACTTTGGAAAATAAAAATTCATTGGTGGATTTGAAATGAAAAAAATAATCAAACAGCTTGAAACCTTAAAGGAGAAATATAAAGTATTAAAGAATTGAAGTATAGATGCTTCAAATAAGAAATTCAATTGCTTTTAGCTCATTTAAATATAATGATCATTTTCTGGAACCAAAACAGTATACATTTAAGGATGTGGTCCAATTCTAGCATAAAACCTGTACCTCATAGTAATCTTTAGGTGGACAGGATGCCTTCACTTATGTTAAAAGTCTAGTTCTCTTTATCCTACTTAGCAAGTTCTAAGCAGTTTTTTTAATATCTGTTGTTCACAAAAAATTATTTGCTTCAAGAGCTTTCAAAATATTAATTATACTTTTATGCATTCATGTTAGTTTTAACTGATACAATTTCCGCTGGTACTGGGGATTCATGTTACAATTCTGAAGAGTCTGTTGAACTTCCCCAATTGTTAGTGCTTTAAAAACAAGGCAAGGAGTTGAAGAAAGCATGGCTGAGGGGACCAGGAGGCCCAGAGAGTCAGGACAGCTACTGCTGGGCCTTCAGTCCTCTCTGGAGCTTTAGAGGAGCAGATAGACACTTAATGCCATTACAGATTGTTCATGGAGAAACTACAGTTACTTTCATAAGCATACACAGTACTGCATCAGGAAGAGTGCTTTTCCTCTGGGTAACATCCCCAATTCCATACGCTCAGAATTTGATCTGATTTGTGCAGGTACCATCTTGGTGTGAGGCAGCTGCCGGCTGGACTGTCTGTGCCTCTTTCAGAAGCCTTGGTTTTCCTTTATGCACTTGTATCCTACGAGCTAGCAGGACTGGGATCTCTAGTCTTCACCTGTGAAATAGGTCGAGCACCTTGCTCTCTGTTCTACGCAGTGTCTCACGTTGTTCCCTCTTTACAGATGACACAGATTTTGGGGCACCAAATTTAACAGTCTGGAGAAGAGATTTCACCTGCCCCCCACTTCTTAGACCAATGCAATGTCCAAGCAGCATTCGAACAGTTTAGCTGTCAGGGTTTGACCAGAGTCAGGAGACCACTGAGTGCTATAAATCGGGACTTAGGATCGGCTTGGCTTATCTATTCGTGGGAGGAGGGTAAGCAGTTTACCTACGCGGGGCCACACCGTTGGCAGTGAGTCCGAAATCGGCAGGTTGGAAGCTGAGGAGGGTGGAAGGGGACAGAGTGGGGGGATGGGAGGCCAACTGCTCCTTAGTTCCCAGTCATCTCAGG